CGTGTGTGTGTGTGTGTGTTTGTGTGTGTGTGCGCGTGCGCGTACGTGCGTGCGTGCGTGCACTTTTTTTAAAGGTGATGCGGTGGGGTGGGGTAATATATGTACCGTGGTTATGATCAAGAGGTTACGTTGTTCGTCTCTCATTCCAAACCTGACAGCGACGGAGGAGTTTTTTTTTTCTAAAAATTTTCCCGTTTCACTTCTTGTCCTGCTATGCTCTCCAACCATTTCCCTCCCGTTTTTCCTCTTATCTGGGTTCCCGACTCTTTCTGCAGCCTTTCTATTGCTACTCCTTGGATCCCTCTTACTGTTGTCTTTCACAACACCCCTGATCTTTTGTTAGGTAAGGTCGAACACCTAATCTTCTCGGATAAAAGGAAAAAACACGTCAGAGGTCCCGTGTGCAAGTCCCGCACGTTAAAGATCTCTTGGTGGTTCTAAAATCGATGAAAGTAGGCTTTGGCCGCTACCCGGACAAAATTCGAAATTTCCTACCAAACGGAAAATGTTTTATGTGTCTCGTCGTGCGCTCATGTCACCTCAGGCAGTGTGTGAGCGCCGTGAAACATTTACCAAAACAAACTAAAAACTCCAGAGCTTGTCTCGTTCCGTGTAGTGGTACATATTTTGTTATTGTTTTCTTTTAGCGCCCGTGGAGCTCGAATAGCTGTATTTACCCCTTCCCCCCACCCCCTATCTCTCTTGCCAATTCTCTTCTTCTCGCTTGTTTGTGTTTCACTTTGATTTTGACCTTTACCTCATGTAAGAGTAGGCTGTATCTTAAAATCCAGTTGACTTACCCCCCCCCCCACTTTCCATCCTCATACCAAAACAAATTAGAAGGCGAGCTCAATGTTAAAGAAATGAGAACTGTTACACCCACCATATTCATGTAAATGCTGTTTTGCTGTGCTGTGCTGTGTTTATTTTTCGTACCAGTAGGGGGAATCAACTTTATTTGAAATACAACCATGAAAGTTTATTATTATACTCTACTGGGAAAACGATGTTTGTTATAGCTACGAAGATGCTACATGTTCTGAAACCAATTGACAGTCTTTCTATGATGAATCTTTCAGAGTTTAAGTCAGGCCTCGTTCGTCACACCAGACCAGGACCGGTCTTCTCTCACCTCTCCTATGTCCAGCAGCTCCATGGCACCCCTGGCCCCATCAATAGACTCGTCCTTACCACTGGAACTTGCTGCTGAGGGCACGCCCACTTCTCCAGAAGAAGAGGAAGAAGAGTGTTTGTATGACAACCCCAACATTATTCTCCGTAAGCATGGCGTTCGTCCGGGCTCAGAGTTCTACAGCACTTATTCCTCGTCCCGCAGAGCTCAGACCGTTTCTGAACCTCCGTTACTGAAGACTCCTGCAGAGGAAGAACTGGTGGAGAAACTCAGCCTGGCCCTAGCTCCCCCTTTGCCGTTGAGAAACTACCAGAAGGAAGAGGCACATCCGTGCAGAAGTGGTTGCTCTAGTGCAAGGCATTCATGGGCGTCTCAGTCTTCTGCCCGTAATCTTGACCCTTCAGATCCCAACCATGGCAAAGCGTCAGATAATAATAGTTTGCGGAGGGACGGCAGGAGAAATTTGTCCCCAGCTTTTGTGCGTGATTACCCCAAATCTGCAGAGAACACGTTAATGAAAGCAGGGAGGAAAAAGGTGAGCAGCAGTAAAAGTCACGAGGAGTTGTCGAGTGCTGGGGGGGATTCAACTCAGGAAGTGAGTAAAGGAACAGTGAATAACAATGTGAATAATAGACTGAGTCCTTCGGTGGTCACCTCTGCTCTGATTCGGAGTTTTCACGGTTGTGAACTGGCTCATACTGTAGCTGGTACTGTGGAGGAAGAGCCCGGTGAAGGGACTCTCACTGAACGGACGGATACTGTTGAAGATTCAAAATGTCTGTCTGCTTGTGGGTCGGAGTCTGAGCATGATCAAGAAATTTGTGACATAATTACGCGCGAGAGTAGTGGTGCTGAAAGTGGTTCTTCAACGGACAATCGGCTCGGTACTGACAAAGGTGATATAGTTGCATTCTGTGAAGGGTTAGCTTACGAAATTCTCTCTCAGGCAGTGTGCACGAGCAGTCGCCAGTTCAAGGAAGATTGTAACAGTATGCAGGGCTCCAACTGTCGCTCGACAAAACAGTTAGATTTAGTATCTTTAAAACCTGAACACAATGCCACCTTTCACGACACTGACTGTGTTTCAGATTCTGTAGTGACAGAAAGTAATGATGTTGCGCTTTCACAATGTGGAGACACTGCTGTGGCTGCAGATATGTCCACATTGTCCCTGTCAGCTGGCAATGATAGTACCAAGTCTGAATTTATTAAAATAAAAAGTGACGAAATTTTGTCTGATAGCTCTGGAGTAGATGTAGTAGCTGTTGAAGTCGCTGCTGACTTTGACAGTGTTGACAAGTTTATAGAATCATGTCTTAGTAGTGACTCTGATGAAGAGCAAGGTGAGGCAATTGATGTTCAGCAACCTTCATCTTCTTCCAACGACGGAATGTCTGAATTGTACAAGGCTCAGGGAGCACGGCCAAAGCGCCCCACCAAGTTTTTTCCGCCACGCCCTTTACCGCCTGTGATCCAATGTGGGGTTCCAGGGCCTGTGATTTTTCATTCTGATAACGACACGGATAAGTGCACCTGGCATATGGATGATATAATCGAACATCAGAAGCACATATTAACTCTGCTGATGCAGATATTGGAGGACAAATCTAGGACAGAACTATGGTTTCTGACAGAGGTAGAGAAAGTGCATCTGTTGCGGTTCTGCACCGAGAAATTTTCTAGCTCTACCGCCGACTTTGAAACTATCTTTGGCGATGGGCTATTCTTCAGGGAATACGTTGATTCTGATTCTGAAGATGAGAATGATCAGGACGAGGGCGAAAATAACACACATCATGGGATGCAAATTAAGGAATATTTTTTGGATGACGTTTCAGTCAGGAAAATTCCCATTACCATTCTTTTTGCCAATCACCTACTTCTTGAACATGCCCTTAACAGGAATGTTTGCCAGCAACCACACATGCAGTTCGTAAGGTATCGTAGTTTCGTGGACAGTGGTGTCTTTACGTGGAGTCGATTTCACGACATTCCTGAGGAATCTCGTCGTGTCGTGGAGGCGAAAGTGCGAAGTTTTTTCCATTACTGTCGAAAGATGATGGGGTATGAGTGTGAAAATGAACAGGACAGAGAGCTCATGAGGTTGGAGCAAGAGATCATGGACGAGCAGCAGCAGAAGATTGAGAGACGTCTACGCAAAGTTCAGGACCTGCCGACTTTCCAGGACGTCATGGAGGAGATTTCCACATCCTTGTCTTCACATATTGAACCGGGCCGTGCTCTAATATCATCCCCTTCATCTAGGTCAGATGACAGACATAAAGTTCACATCTGTACCCCTGACCCGGCGACCCCTGGCGCGCCTGATGGCAAAGCGGCCCATTCGAGGAAATGTCCATACGGGTTCAAAGGGCGGCGTTCTGATAGAGCAGAGAACACGTGTAAACGTGTTCCACCCACAGCGCCACCAAGGACCGCAGACGCAGAGACAACGTACAGTGAATCAGAGCGTCACGACTCCGTTGCCGTCAGCTACCAGCAAAAACCGCACCTCTCAACACTGTTGGCCGGAGTGACATCCACGTCTCAGGCTGTGCAGGAGTTTCACCGCTTGTGTGAGCACGGCCTCACGACACCCGCCAGCTCCCCCTGCGTCAGTCAGTCTCTCTTTGTGGATGAGGGGACCGGGGCGGCTGTCACACCTCCTCCAACCGACTACGACTCCGACTCGGAAGATGAAATGATTACCCTGGATACGTATGCTCGCATTATGACCAGGCCCTTGCAACGGCGGCGGTCTGAGACGTCTACTCGGGACGACACAGTGTTCGCAATCTACAGCTACACGCCTTTCTCCGGAGAGCTGGCCTACGCCGTGCGACGACGTCCCCCTCGACGCAAAGTCAAAGCCGTTGTTGTCCGAGGCCCGCGGGAAGTGTGCCTGGGTGTGGGCAGTCACGTGACGTTGGCTGTCTGGACGCAGATGGACCAGCTGATGAAGAAGCTGGTGCCCCACATCTCCCCGAGGCTTGACTTTCGTTTTCTCCTTAAAATCTACGAGCAATTCAAGCAGATTGTTTTGGTTCCGCGAAAGAAGAACTACTCGGTGAAGGGGTGCTATCAGATTGAGAGAAGTTGTACTCGCTTCCTGGAGTTCGTCTTCCTCAAACTCATCCGCGACGAGCTCCGAGTGTTCTCCCACGTCATGCGAAAGTCCAAAATGGCCAAAGCTTTGGCGACAGAGGAGAAGGAGATCAGCCTGAGCCTGGTGAGTCTCCTGTCCGTGGTCCTGGAGAACCTGGGCAAGATGAAGCGGACCCTGCACAGGGAGCATGTCAATGGCTTCAAAGGGGTCAACGAGCCGGTCAACCCGCCAGACCCCTTCGCTGACCACCCGATCGTGTTCCGGCACCCGAGCTACCGTGACTGGCAGTCTGATCGAGAGACTTATCGGCCGCCCCTTGAGCCGTCTGAGATGGCCCATGCTTGCAGGTACTGTCTGTCTGTCTATCTATCTGTCTGTCTGTCTTTGTTTTTGCGTGCGCGCGCGCATGTGTGTGTGTGTG